AAAGGACTAAGGCCCATATCAGAGTTTCTACACAACCCAGGTGGACTAGGTCTCTGGAGAGCTGGAAGTACCTATAAAGTCAACCATTAAAACCTGAGCTGCACAAAAAGCCTTCCCTAGAGAAACAACAGCAAAGCAGCAATTTAGCTAAACCACACAGCTTAAGTACTGGTCCCCACAGGAAGTTCCCCCACTTTAGAACTAAGCAAAGGACAAAAAATTAGTTCCAGCCAGGCACACTGCCAGGACCTTGGGGCCTGCCTGTGGACCTAAGCAATGGAGCTGGGGACTGGACCCCCTCCCACAACCAGGCACACTGCCAGCGCCAAGGAGTGTGCCAAAAACATTACCTCCATGTGGGTGGCCCACCAGAGCCACCACAATAACCATGGCTGCCACGAAAGTGGCTAGATGCCACAACCACCACACAGATGGTCCTCCAGCCACTGGAGTGCATTGACACAAGGAGCGTCACCAGGAGAGACCAAAGAAATGAAGAGGATGTCTTTCTTCACAAAGCCCATTCCAGAGTGACAGAAGCATCTGTTCTATGATAATATTGGGGGACCTGAACACACCTCTCAGCATTGGACAGATCATCTAAGCAACAATTCAACAGTGTAACCATTACTTTTTCAGAAGGAGAGACGAAATCTAGGGTTATCAGAGGTGGGAGAAGGGAGGGAGAGGGGGATAGGGAGAGGTTGGACAAGGGGCATAAAGAATAAGTATGATTTGTAACAATATATATGCTAGTAATATTGATTTGATCAACATGTCAACATTGAACTCCCAAAATATGTATAATCAATTATGATTCAATAAAAATTTTTTTAAAAAGGAGAGTGAATGAGGAAGTTAGTCTCTCTCTGCTCTGACATTCTGCCATGTGAGACCCCTGCATCCTTGTTACCACCAAAAAGGCCTTCACTAGATGTGTTCCCTGGACTTTGGAATTCCAAGCCTCTGAAACTGTAAGCAATAAATATTCTATTTCTTTATAAATTACCCAGTTCCAAGTATTTTGTTATAAGCAACAGAAACAGACCAATACAGTGGTCAATGGATACAAAATTGGAGAGAGATAGGAAGAATAAGATCTTGTGTTCTATAGCAATAAAGGGAAACTATAGCTAACAACAAACTACTGTATAACTTGAAGTAGCTGGTTCAAAGGTGTTGAATGTTAAATACAAAGAGGTGACAAATGTTTGAGGTAATGGATATGCTAAACACTCTGATATGATCATTGCACACAGAGTAAACGTACCCAAAGGTCATACTGTACTCCATAAATATATACAATTATCATGGGTCAATTAAGGAAAAAGAAAAAGAAAAGACTTTTTCAGAGACAGAAGTAGATCAGAGGTTACCAGAAATGGGGGAAGGGGAAGAATAATGTGAAGTTATTGTTTAATGGGTACAGTGGTTATGTTTAGATGATGAAAAAGTTTTGGAAATAGATAAAGGTAGTGGTTACACAGCATTGTGAATGTAATTAATTCCAATCAATTGTATATTTAAAAATGCTTAAAATAGAAATTCTTATTTTCTATATGTTTTACCACAATTAAAAAAAAAAGATAATACCATCTTTCCATGAATTTTTTGAAGTACCCTCATATACAGATGGCAAATGAGCATATGAAAAGATGCTCAACATCATATGTCACTGGGGAATTGCAAATTCAAAGAGCAGTGAGCTACCTCTATACACCTATTAGAATGGCTAAAATGTAAAACATTGACACCACCAAATGCTTGTGAGGATGTGAAGCATTCATTCATTCATTGCTGGTGGGAATGCAAAATGATTCAGCCACTTTGGAAGACAATTTCACAGTTTCTTACAGAGCTAAACGTAGGATTATGGTATGATCCAGTAATCACACTTCTAGGGATTTACCCAAAGAAGTTGAAAGTTTATGTACACACAAAAAACTGTGTAAGGATATTTATAGCAGCTTTATTCTTAATTGCCAAAACTTTGAAGCAACCAAGATGTCCTTCATTAGGTGAACAGATAAATACACTATGGTACATTCAGACAATGGGATATTATTCAATGCCAGAAAGAAACAAGCTGTCAAACTATGGAAAGCCATGGAGGAAACTTAAAGGCATATTACTAAGTGAAAGAAACCAATCTGGAAAGGCTACATACTGCATGATTTTTTTTTTCCTTTTTGTCTTTTTTTTATACTGACCAGTAGGGATCGCAACCCTCGGTGTCGTGCCCATACCGGGGACCGGCAACGGGATCGCAACCCTCGGTGTTGCGCCCGCGCCCCGCTCAGCCAGTGAGCGGGAACCAGTCACCACATGGGATCTGAACCCTCGGCGGGAGCGCCGCTGCACCCCCAAGCGGCGCACTCTCCAGTGTGCCACCGGGCTGGCCCTACTGCATGATTTTTTAAAAAATTTATTTATTATTACTATTATTTATTTATTTACATTCTAAGATGTTGCAGAGCAGTGGGAGGGGAGGGAGAGGGGAGAGGGAGGTAGGAAAATGGAGGTGGGGGTTGGGAGGGTGGGGCTTGCCCATGGCTGGCTCCTTCACTGGCCTGGTTGCAGAGGGCAGGGGTGTGTGTCTGAGGTACTCGGCACACCTTGACCCGGGCTTGAGGGCCCGGGGTGCTTTCAGCTGTGCTGCATGATTTCAACTATATGACATTCTGGAGAAGGCAAAACTGTGGATACAGTAAAAAGATCAGTGGTTGCCAGTCCTTAGGGGGAAGGGAGGCAAAAATAGAGCACAGGGCATTTTTAGGGTGATGAAACCATTCTGTATGATACTATAATGGTGGATATATGTCATACATTTGTCAAAAACCATAGAATGTGAACTCTAATGTAGACTATGGACTTTGGGTGATAATGATGTTATAATGTTTCATCAGTGGAAACCGATGTACCATGCTAATACTGGATGTTAATAGTGGGGGAAGCTATGGGTGTGTAGGGACTTAGGGTACATAGGAAATCTCTGTACTTTATGTCCATTTTTGCCTAGAACCTAAAACTACTCTAAAAAATAAAGACTATTTAAAACAAATTTTTTTTCATCACCCCAAAAGAAAATCCCATACCCATTAATCAGTCTCTTCCCATTCCCTCTTCTCCCCAGCTCCTGGCAACCACCAATCTGTTTTCCATCTCTAATGATTTACCTATTCTTGATAATTCATATAAATGGAATCATAAAATGTGTGGCCTTTTGTGTCTGGCTTCTTTCAGTTACAATGTTTTTGAGGCTTACCCATGTTGTAGCACCTATCAGTACTTCATTTTTATGGCTGAATTAAATACATAGCATTTTTTGTTTATCCATTCATCTTTTGAGAGATATTTAGGTTGTTTCCACCTTCTGGCAACTCTGAATAGCACTGCTATGAACATTAATTTCCTATGGCTGCTCTAACAAATTACCAAACTTGGCGGCTTAAAATAATAGAAATCTATTTTCTTACAGCTCTGTAGACCAGAAGTTTGAAATCAATCAGTTTCTTTGGGCCAAAGTCAAGGTGTTGGTAGGGTCACATTCCCTCCAAATGCTCTAGGGAAAAATCTATCCCTTGCTTTTTCCAGTTTCTGATGACTGCTGGCATTCCTCGGTGTCTTAACCACACCATCCTAATCTTTACCTCTATCTTCAAAACATCTTTTCCTCACTGCATAATTTCCCTCTGTCTGTTTCTTATAAGAACACCTGTTATAGTATTTAGGGTTGTTATGGGTTGAATTATGTTCTCCAGAAAGATATGTTGAAGTCCTAACTCTCAGTTCCTGTGAATGTGTTCTTATTTGGAAACAGGGTCTTTGCAGATGTGGTCAATTTAAGATGAAGTCATACTAAATTAGGGTGGGTCCTAATCCAATATGACTGGTGAAAGAGAAAACAGCCACAGACATAGACACACTGGAAGAAGATGGCCGTATGACCACAGAGGCAGGGATTGGACTGATGCATCTACAAGCCAACCAACACCAAGGATTTCCAGGAAACACCAAAAATTAGAAGAGGCAAGGAAGGTTTGTCCCCTACAGGTTTCAGTTGGTTGAAGCATGGCGCCGAGGACACTTTGGTTTCAGACTTCTAGCCTCCAGAACTGTTAGACAATAAATTTCTGTTATTTAAACCACCCAGCTGTGGTAATCTTTTACCCCAGCCCTAGGAAACTAATATAAGGGTCCACCTGAATAATCATCCAGAATAATATACTCATCTCAAGATCTTTAATTAATCACATCTGCAAAGATCCTTTCTTCCAAATAAGATAACACTTACAGGTTCTAGGGATTAGGACATCTTTGGGGAAGAGCATTTTTCAGCCTACCACAGTTGTTTTTATTTTCATTCCATTTAATATAATTTCTAGTTTCCTTTTTAATTTCTTTTTCAACTCATGAGTTTTTAGTTCTTTAACCTATGTTATTTTGCTTTCCAAGTATTTGGAGGATTTTGAAGATATATTTCATTTAGTGATTTCCAGTTTAAACCCAAACTAGTCAAAAACATGCTTTGTGTGAGTTGAATATTTTAAAGTTTATTGAGAATTGTTTTATACACCAGAATATGACCCATTTTGGTAAATGTTCCATGTGCCTTTGGAATGAATGTGTATCCTGCTGTTGTTGTGTGGAGTGTTTTATAAATGTCAATTAGGCCAAGTATGTCGACAGTGTTGTAAAAATTGCCTAAACTCAACTTGTACCTGGCAGAGTGGGCACACTCAGGTGTGTAACGGGTGACTCCCACCCTCCTGCTTCCAAAACATATCCTTCCCTCTCTGCCTCTAAGCCCCCCTCCAAGCCCAAAGCTCTACAATGGAAATTGCTTCTTATTTATACACTACTGCTTGGAGCATGAGTATTTGTACATACAGTGCTTAAAAAAATATATAGATATATATAATTTAGGAAATTAAATTGATATTGCACAGAAATCAAGAGATTTATATTATTATGAGCGATGCATGGGATATTTTATTTCTCTAACAGAAGACAAAGCAAAACCTGAAAGGATGGATACGACTTTTAATGAGCACAAAAGGGCTGAAAGTTGGGAAACATGCATCCAGAAATACATTTGCATTCAGCAGCCACCAACTTGGAAAGTTAAACATGGTGATATAGGTTGAGGAGATTGAAGAAAGTGTGGAAAAAAAGACAAAGGTACACACAAGGATCAGAATATTCCGAGTAGCCTTTATCTCCGGAGAGAGGTTGGAGATTTGTCTAGAGCTGTGAATATATCTAACCTGGTGCTTGTGCCTGTAGAGAAAAAGCACCATGGAAATACTGGTCCAAGCCAAGAGTCCCAGGCACATCACATCAATGGAAGCATGCAGGAAGGCAAAGAGCGAGGAGTTGATAGGGTTAAGAACAGCACGAGAACAGTATCCAAAATAGTTCAGACTGATATTTTTTCTCTTCCTTGGGCCAGTCACTTTTAAAGCAACAAGTACATTTCCCAGAAGATGCACCACCCAGAAAAGGAAACAGAAATGCCCAACATACTTTTGGATTCTGACTTTGAGCTCAGCCCACGTGGATTTATTGGGGATGACTGTGATGGCCTGGAAGATGCTCAGGAAGCAAGTGGAAGAGAGACAGACTTCCCGGGCCACTCTGTGAATATAAAACAAAAATTTACATCCAATATCCTCCAGGAAATTCTTCAGCCCAAAAGATATCAATATATGGGGGACTCCCTTACATAGAAGAACTAAGGAGTTGGCCAAGTACACATGTTTGAGTATGTGGTCTGAGGTTCTCAACCTATATCCAGTGCAGAAAGTGAAGGTATAAAGAAAAAGGCGGGAGAAATTCCCTAGGATTCCAACACAGGTCTGGGATAGGAAAAAAATCCCCAATGTCAAGTCACCTGAATCCATTCTGTCAGTGGCTGGAAATAGCAATTTTATCCATATTCAGAGTTATCTCTAGGGAAAATAAAAGATTGAAGTTAGTTACATTGCAGATGAAATGCTTCTCTCAATTCCTCAACCTTTAAGAATACACTATTAAATACCTTCATATTCTAGCCGCCAACCCCTTCCCACAGGGAATCAATATTTACAACACAGTAGATATACATAAATATTCCAAATTATCTTAGTATTAGTTTATATACATTACATATATGCATGTACACAAGCACATACAAACATATACACCCACATAAATGCAGGGAATTTTTACAGTGTCTTAAGATAAAATGATTGTTCCATACACATTTCAATCTTTTTAGTGTCACATTTACTTAAGGTAATTCTACTAACTCATCTGGTATAGTTGTAAGTCATTATTTTAATGGCTGTATTAATATCCTATGACACAGATAACAAATTGATCCATGTATTTCCCTATTGATGTTTACTCACAAAATTTCCAATTACTCTGCCAATACAGAAAATGATGATGATAATACACACATATTTTGTATACTCTTTCCTAGGTACTATTTTAAATGTATATGATGTCTTTTAATTATCAGACAAACTTATGAATTAGGTATGTTATCCCCATGTCACTGACAAGGAAAATGAAACACTTTCAGATTAAATAACTTGCCAATATCCACACATCTGATGAGTAGCAGCACTGGGATTTGAACTGGCTCTGGGGACTTCCTTTAACTTTTACATCCCATGGTCTCTAATTATTACCCTCATTATGTTTTTACTGAGTATATAAGAACCTTGATGTTTGTTTATTGCAGCTGAGCAGCAACCTTATTCTTGCTCTTTGTTCTATGGCATAGATTTACAAAAGTGGGATGTTGCTTTAAAGAAGGAAAGGAGGGAGGGAAAGGAGGAAGGAGAGAAGGAGGCAAGGAAGGAAAGGGGAGAGGACGGGGTGACAGTAATGGTTTTCCAGGTAGGTGGAAACAAATTAGAATTCCACCAACAATGTAAGAGCATGTTGCTTTAAAGAAGGAAAGGAGGGAGGGAAAGGAGGAAGGAGAGAAGGAGGCAAGGAAGGGAAGGGGAGAGGACGGGGTGACAGTAATGGTTTTCCAGGTAGGTGGAAACAAATTAGAATTCCACCAACAATGTAAGAGCACACTGGTCTCCTTAATTCCCACCAGCACCAGTAATTTCATCATCTTCCCCCAGTTTGCTGGCCAGAAAGTGATATTGCATTGTTACTTTAATTTGCATTTCTTTGCTACAAGTAAATTTGAATATTTTTCTATATATCTTTTTAGGTTATTCTTTGTGAACTAAATTTTCATACCTCTTCCCCAATCAAATTTTGTAATCTGCAAAGCACATACTTTTACTAGATCGATTTATTTATGTATTAATTGCGTGTATTATTAGTGGAATAGTCTCAAACAAATATTTCTACTTTGTATTTAGTCAAATTAAATGTATTATTACATAGTTTCTGCTTTCTTATCTTGTTTGATATGGTTGTCGCCGCCCCTTAATTTTAGTTGTAGTTACCTAGATGGGATTTTTTTTGCATAATTTTATTGTTTTATATTTTTAATTTAAATATCTAACCTATCTGGAACTTAATTTTAAATACGATGTAAGACAGGGATGTTTTAAAATATTTTACATACACATAGAGAGTGTTATGAGAAAACTATCAAATTAAACTACTTTCACTATTTAAGTACCATATGGTTTATATGTCAGATCCTTATGAATACAGGGAAATATTCCTTACTTCTTTATTTTGTTAACTATTGTATTTCTTCTATTATTGTTGTTTTTAGTTTATTTTGTACATTCAAGATTTACAACATAAACTTGTTTCACTGATGAATAATCATGAAAGATTAAAACAGATGTTAAAAATTGTGTTCATTTGAATATTAAAAGCATAATAACACAAAACTAAACTTTTTGTTCCCAAACCACATAGATCTGGTGATACTAGGTTGATAAAAGAAAAGGAGTAATTTACCTTTTAGTCAGAAACAGACCTTAAATGACAATGGTAACTTTGTCACCACAATTTGTTTACTGTTTTTCTGATCTAGTTAATGCGTGGAGAGAAAAAAGAGAGGAATGAAAAATAACAGAAACCAAGCGAAACAAGAACTTATAAGTGTTAATTGTCTTTTAAGGCAAAATTAAATGAAAATGCTTAGGATTAATAGAGTTCAGTAAAAACATGAATACAGGTAAATATAAAGAAATACATAGGTCTAGATCTTTATAAACCAACAAATAGCTTTAACAATTTTGAAAGTGAATTATAAATTTGTAGCAAGTAGGACAGTGTGCTGTTCTTAAAGGAATAAGAAAACAATAAAACAAAGGTGAGAGTCCAATAACGGAGGTTTTAGAAGAAAAGAAAGCAGGCTGATCACGTTTGGCAAGAGAGGACTTGTTTTGTCTCCCCCAGGTGATGGAGTATCAGACCATGCCCAAATGAATCAGCCAGAGGCTGTTTGGCTAGACCAGGCAGCAGATGAGGAAGCTCTGGACCACAGCAAAAGGGTGGAAAAGCTGAATCACCACGACTTCAAACATTCCCATGAAGTAGAAGGACGTGGATAATGACCAAGCAAAGCATGGAAAACATACTTCACATACCCAGAACTGTGAAAAAAACACTCAAGTAATTATATATGGAAGATCTTAGTAAACCAAGCATTAGAAAGAAACCAATTTTCAGCTCAGTCACCAAATAGCCACTCCTTTCAGGCTTCATTCCATGATATGTGATTGTCACCATTAAATGCTCCCCTGAATCACCCACCCACTAGCTGCCCAACACAGCTATTCACTTCCATTTAATAACTAGCTCTTTAAAACCATCTACACCCTGAAGGAATTGATGAAGAAATAGAAAAGTAAGAATAGAAAAATTGCACCGAGAAAAATATGTGTAGGAATAGAAGTAAGAATAAAAAACTAGCAAAAGGGATCATTTAAATCTCTGAATCCTCCAAACTTAAATTGCTACACATCTTCAACTATGTACTGAAGAAAAAGAAAACAGCAGTATATCCTTGATCACAAGCACTTTGGATAAGAGACAAGCTTACTATCGCTATAACTATATCTGGCTCTGAGACATAGACAAACTAACAAGAATCTCCCAGCAAATGCCATCAGGTTATGGGAGCTCAAAGATTTTATTTCTTCTATTATAAATAGAAAAATTTTAATACTATTTCTAGTATTTGTGTGCAAAAGTAACATTGGCACAGGAAAATTTTGAATTCTAAAACACTTCAGAAATCATCTTCAGTTAGAGTCAGAGTTAAAGAGCAAATGCGTATCCTAAAAGATTACCCTACATAAAACTAATAGTTAGAGACAGAAAGGTTGAGAATATCAGAACCCTTTCCAAGTCTAACCCATATTGCAGAATATTCTGTTCTAAGTTCTCAGAAAGTAATAAGACAATGAGAAATGTGTGTTTATTAAAAGAAAATTATCTCAGTCTCAAAGCACAGAATTCGAGGAATATTGAACACAATGAGAGAGTCTGAATTAGAAAATCATTTAAGTCTGGGACATAGAACACAGAGGCATGGTGTTAAGTGGCCTGGACTTTGCCATATGATAAAAAGATAGCATGTTTTAAGGTATTTGAAGACAAGCAGATGAGAGGATGGGCAAAGAGAACGAAAGAGAAAGGAAGAAAGTGAGCAAGGGATAGTTAGAGCTACACAGACTTCTACTAAGAGAGATAAAATATTAAGAAGTTTTGGTTTTCTGTAAGAGTAAGAGTGATATTTGATTGTTTCTACTGAAGGATTTTTTTTCTCCAGTGAATCAATGCTTGACTAACACTAGATGAAAGACTAGATAATGAATAACGACAGATGACAATAATTATATCTAAAAGGTATTTTTAAAATCTACCAAAGGATCTAAGGTAGAGAGCCAGTGTAGAAGTACACAAACAAGAGAAAAGGTGTTGGTGAAAAATAAACAAGCAATAAACTTATAGACAGGAATCAGAAACAGAAAAACCAAAGACTAACAAAATAGGGAATAATCACTAAGTGAAAGATAATGACTCACCATAAAAGCTTAATTTCCAAAGAGATTGATTTGGTATCAGGTGATTCAAGGAAATGACATACATATTTATACACACACACACTTACACATATGTGTTATTATAAAGAATATGTATTTCTCTAAAACAGTAAGTTATCGAACACAGATGTTGAGAGCTGAGGTGATTAGAAATAGTGGATTGTTTGAGAAAGCACAATGCAGCGTAAATACACCAGCCCAGGAGAAGCCCGAATAAATTTAATGTTGTCCATGTGGCCCCTGGACTTGATTAAAAATTGAGGGGACAGGCTCCCTGAAACCCATCTATGCTGCTGTTCTCCTTTTGCATGCAATGTGACACTGGCCACTTTGATTGGCATGACTCTGACATGGTGCTTTTTATGTTGCAATAACATGTTCTTTTAGATACACATTTTGGATGTGTGATGGAGTAAGGATGATCATAAAAGGCCAAATATGGAGAAAAAATTCTCAGCTTTATATGCTATATGAAAACAATGGCAACAGCTCTGATGTTACTATTAAGTGCTCAGTTTGCTTTCATCTCAAAGAACGTCATGGCCAATGATTTCATGGTTTTTAACATATGGTGATATGTTTATACTCAACGGTGAATGAAACTTTCTCAGGCCCACAAATGCTTAACTGAAGACCCAAGCACCCAAGTGAATCACGTTCTCATTAAAAATATACAGACTGATCCACCAGAGCTCAGAGAGAAGGTTGTATACTAACATATATTAAATATAATCCATGTGATAATCACTCTGATGATCTCATCTAACTATTTAAATACCTTGAGGTGTGTGTTATAATATTTATTTTGCAGATAAAAATGATAAGAGTAAGTACTTTTATCAGAGAGAAGATATATATAAATTCAGACAGCACTTTTG